CGTAGACCACTGATTGCCTCGATTTCGCCGGTGGGCTAAAAGCAGACTGTACATAGCCCATCCAATTCAGAGCTAAATCGTGACTACAGATCGACCATGTCATGATATGACACTGGCACCTTGTAGATATGTTTACCAATGCGAACATAATGGGATATCAACCATCTCATGCGTTGCCTGCCCAACAATTCATTAAAACGACAATTAATCAGTTTCGACTAGAAGTGGGCTATAAATAGCCGGGCAGACTATACGAGCTAGATCGCGTCTACACACAGCCTACACATAGAAAATGTCAAAGAAATCAAACCAAACACCTTGTAATCACAGTTGACTTTGCTTACATGATGGAATAAATACATTTTGCAAGTTATTTTGGAAAAAATTACATTTAGCCATGATTCAATGTTATTTTGGCTAGAAGTGGGTTACACATAGCCGGACTATATCGGGTCTATATTTAACCTAGACGGTGAAATGAGGGCTATTGCTTGCTGGGTTCGCAGCCGCATCGGAGCTGATTTCAACTGCCAGTGTGAAGGCGGCGTTAGTACAGTAAGCCACGTTAAGCGTTTTTCACGTTAAGCGTTTTAGAATGTCCCACTTTCGGGAGTTTTTTCTGTCTGCCGACGGTGTCGCCATTTCCCATTTCACCCGTTTTTGTGCGTACGCCTGGGTCAGAGCTGGCCTGAAGGACCGCACATTTTACCGTCAAGTTTGCTTTTTTATAAATACCAACTATTGCGTAGAGAGCAGCGTACGCAACGTTTATAAATGAGGCCCCAGAACTCTCTTCATGCGTCCCAATTCGCATACTATCCGTCCTAAATAGTATTCGAAAATAGAATTAGTACGTCCCAAATCGTAGTATGTTAAAATGAGTGTTTCAAAGATACCCAGATGGTCTACTTTTTCCGGTCAGAATCCGAAGTGTAGATCGATGCACACTCTTAACGGCTGATATTGCCCACAAACCATTGCGCGTTAGACGAGGATTTGGTTAGAACTACAAACACGAGCAAAAAGTGTTAAAAAACTACAGACTCGGCACTCTCTTAAGATATGGATGCAGTTCAGACGTGCTTTTTCTTTAACTGAGATGTCTATGGATGCCCCTTTGGTGGGAAATAACATGGTTGCTCCCTCCATAACTGATGATGCTTTTAAAACATGGACTGAAAGGGGATTGAAAACAGTCAAAGACATATAGATGGCACCTTTGCAAGTTTTGAACATTTGAGAACACACTTTGACATTCCTAATTCACATTTTTTTTAGATATTTACAACTTCGTAGTTTTGTTTCCGCAAATGTTCCATCTTTTACCTTTGATAGCACCAGATTCCCTGTTAGACAAAATAATTAAGATGCCCCTTTGGCCTGGGGAGGTTGTTGGTAGGTTATATTCTATACTCAGCATGGACAATTTGAAACAATTAACAACATTAAAACATCAATGGGAGAAGAACTGGATGCAGAGATATCAGATGAGCTATGGCAGGTCATCCTCAATAACATCTTCTATCTGCCTACGACACATCATTATCCAGTTTAAAGTTACTCATCGTTTACATTGGTCAAAAGCAAAGTTGGCTAGAATTGCACCAGATATTGACCCAGAGTGTGATCGGTGTAATATGGAGCCAGGCACTTTATCACATATGTTCTGGAGCTGTCCCAAACTGTCTGAGTTTTGGGAGTTTATCTTTGCTTTTCTTTCTAGAGTATTGCATACTCATATTGACCCGTCACCGATCATTGGCATCTTTGGAGTACAAGAACTTGATATAGGCAAATGGGATAAAACCGTGATAGCACACTATCGCGCTGCGCTGAAGGACTTCCCGTATCAGCCGCGATCTAATCCTGTTTACATGAAATAAGCCTGCTCGCGAGCAGGTTCAAGCTGACGGACCTGTTGCTATGACAGCAAGTCCAGGATGAGCGTCGAAGAACCAAACGATCCAGGATCATGCCAAATCGCCAACAATCAAATCCAGCTAACCGAGTTAGCGAGGTACGAAGAACGAGCCCCAGGTTGCCAGATATTACTGAATTTAATGTTATTACCCTGCAAATTATAGCGAATTTGCTCAAGTGTTAAATAGTGCATAACATCGTTAATCCAATGTTTAAATTATCCTTCCATTTCAGTAAGATAATGCGTCTGGCCAAGAGAGTTCATTATATTCAAATTGCAAACATGAGGAGAGCATGAAAGACCCACAACTGGCAGATGAACGTGCTCTCCGAAACGGTAGGAAATAAAATTAGATAGAATGGAGGATTTTAACTGTGGCTGCGTTCCAAACCGCATACTCAATGAGTAGGTACTTAATTTCAATAAGTATCGAGCGCTAAAAGAGTAGGTACTTTATAGCCAAATCTCGTTGAGTATGAATGCGAACCGGACATCTGCCATGTTGACGTTATCATGTGACCTACTACGCGTTATCACAAGCGCAACACCTTCATGCAATAAAAAAAAAAAAATATGAACGATACGTTTAATTAATCTACCTAAATATCTTGATATATGATGAAACTTGCTCATTTTGTTGTGGTATTGTTGAAGAAACAGCTGCCTATTTATTTTGTGAATACAATTAGGGTTGATTTAATTAAGTTGTTATATTTTAAACCCTACTAATGTGACCAACAGTGTTATTCTAACGATATTTTTTTTATTAAGAAACCCCAAAATCATCATCTCTTGATTATGTTGTTAATTTCTTTATTTTATACCCAAAAAGTTTCTCCTTAGTTTTCTTCTTTTTCTTCATGAATTTACCTCGTTTCATCCCTCAGATATAACAACAACTTTTTTTATGTATTATGAAGAACTATAATGAAGATATTTAGCCTTTTTTATTGTTCTTATTTCCTGTGTATAAATATAATTTTATGTCATATTATGATGTACACAAACCAATGATCTTTATATTTTCTGTTTTGTCACTATGATTGTTACATAAACTATAGTATCTTTCCATGATCTTGCATATTAATAAGTTTAAATTAAATGAGCGACAGGTGCTCTAACACTCCATAACATCAGTAACTTCACAGCACAACCTAGAACAGCGTTTGTAATGTCTGCACAAAGGAGACGGGCAGCTGCTTGAAGATCTCTTTTGGAGAAAACTGTTGATTTTATACTCCAAAAATGTAAGTATCACTGCTTAAAAATTAATATTACCTCAGAATGAATTTCATTGTTAGCCCACCCCAAAACTTAAACAAAATAATAATATTAAATGCTGACCAATACTTATATAACTTTTTATATACTAAAAATATAATTTAATAAAACAAGCAAAATGTAATTTGTTTTGTAATATGACAGTAATGCATGAATTCATTTATATTGCTAAATGCAGTGAAACATCTCAATTGTCAGTCAATCGATGAATTAATGCATAAATTAATTACATTTTATATACTGACAACAATAAGAAACATGAATAAATGAGTAAAAGAACAAATAAAAGTAAATAAAAGTAACCATCACAATAAACAAATGCATATACAAGTCAACACATGAAACAGCTTTATTCAAACTACAAGCATGTATTTACAGGCACTGAACCCCAAACCCTACTGCCGACTCAACACAGCGGTTCCCATTCATTGATGACAGCATTCAGCATCATGAGCCTCTCTCCACTGGATAAACACACGCGTGTTCTTCTGTCCCTGTAACATACAGACAAGATTCACATTACGAGCTCAACACTGCATTTACATGTTGAGGTTGATGTGTTAACTCACTTTTAATCCAACTTAAATGTTCCTCAATATATCAACACCAATAAGGGACAAATTAAATATATATCATGTTTAGTTACTTTATAGATGTTTTTATTCACAGCACATAATTTGTCTAATGTAAGCAGTGTTGACAACAGTGAATTATCCTACATAATAGCACACACATGTATTTTTCATGTTGGGATGTGCTCACCTGCAATACAATATTTTCCTTCCTGATGTAAATAGACATTTTAAATAAGCGTTTTTAAGATGTATGGTTATGTAAATACACGTTGAAAACGTAACTTTACGGTTACTGGAGCTCCCCTGTTATCAATACATAATAAAACATGTGTTTACAGCAAAATCACAACTATACTATACTGTCTAACTCCTTTAGACGTTCAACAGTTAAAACGTTTACTCTATAGTAGTTTAACACATACGATTTAAACCGTATTTACTCACATTTGAAAACCCAGGCGTCGCTTATCTCCGCGATGTTGATATTGACGTATCCTCTCGCGTGGCCTCCTGGGATAGATGAGTATCATGAGTAGCCGTGGAAAAGCACTCAAAAATCTGGGCGGAAGCAGTAAGCCATCCGGGAACTTCTCGCCTACTCTTTTTATGAAAACTGATGTTTCGAACGTACTGCTTCCTTCACGTACTGTTTTCGCCTACTATATAGTAGGAAAGTAGGCATATTGGAACGCACTTAAGTCCGAATCTCGCGACAATTGCTACGTCACCCAGGTAATTCTCGCCTACTCTTTTGGATTCATTCATACTTTTTTGCTCGCCTACTCTTTTTCCCATACTAAATAGTATGGAAGTATGCGGTTTGGAACGCAGCCTGTGACAAGATGATTGACAGGGCAGTTTACGGTGACAGGATGCACGCAGCACGCGACAGAGCTGTCCGTTAAAGATGACGTGATAGTATGTCCCAAAGCTTGCCTACTCTTTTGCTACACACTCACAAAAAGAGTACTTTTAGGGCGTAGTATAAATAAGCGAATTGGGACGCAGCATCTGAATACGGCTCCGCTCCAGATGGCTCTGCGTGCAGGCACCGTGTTTTCAGCTCTATGGTTTTCAGTGGCTTCTGCATCTGTCATTCAGCGGCTATAGCCCGCCCTCCCACGAGAGCAGCACGCCATTGGCTCATCTCTCATCCAATAAAATTTCTAGGTTTTCAGAGTGTTCTACACTCCGATTGGTTTATCAGATCAAAAACAGGCGGGGCTTGTTAGGGAAATGTGTTTCCTTGTCTATGTCAGTCGAACGACGGAACGTTATGGCGTATTAAACCATTAAACAAAAACAATACATCCAATACATTAATATTTTTCTTGGTTTCGGGTGTTTCTCTAACGGATGGATTCCACCGCGCGCGGGAAAGTCAGCTGGTATCTGTGATTCCCGGTTATTCCCGGTGATTGTGCGATGATGACCGCGGAGCTGCTGCTGTCCGACAGCCGTTACTGTGCAGATAACCTGCTAACCAGCGAGGACTGGGGTGAGTGTGTGACACACTGTGTGTGTGTGTGTGTGTGTGTGTGTGTGCGCGCGCGTGTGTGTCAAGTCAAGTCACATTTATTTATGTAGCGCTTTTTACAATACAGATTGTATCAAAGCATCTTCACAGTGATAACATGAAAATAATACAACACAGATCAATAATATTGTTGAATATTAAATGTCCCCAACTAAGCAAGGCAAAAGCAAGACAACAGTGGCAACTGGCAAGGAACCAAAACTCCATCAGATGATTGAATGGAGAAAAAAAACAAAACCTTGGGAGACCCCAGGCCCAGTCAGGGGCCAGTTCACCTCTGGCCAACAAAAGAACAGTGATTACAAAACAAATTGGATCGAAACATTAAGAGAATTATCCATTTCCATCTGTTTGGAAGTCGGAGTAATCACGCCAGTTTGGAGACGAGATGTTGAGGATCAGTGCCGATGGCTTTCGTGTCGATGAGGCCGGCACTTAAGAATGAGTCGGGATGGGTCCAGGCGCAGGTCCACCATAGAGGGTCCCTCGGGAGTCGGGATAAACAGAGAAACTGATATTAGTGTAGACCCCATCTGTCTTATCATGTACCAAGTACATCAGGATTTACGGGACGTGTTCGGTTCCGGCTGATCTAAACTATGCAGCCTAATTTGAATTTAGGAAGTCTATAGTGTGTTATGTGTATGCTAGGCCAAAGATATATGTTTTTTAGTCTAGATTTGAACTGACAGATTGTGTCTGCTTCCCGGACAATTATTGGAAGATTGTTCCAGAGTTTTGGTGCTAAGTAGGAAAAGGATCTACCACCAGCAGGCGATTTTGATATTCTAGGTATTATCAACTGGCCGGAGTTTAGAGATCGCAATAGACGTGAAGGACTTTGCGTTAAGAGCTCGCTCAAGTACTCCTAAACCAATTAGTGCTTTGTAAGTAATCAGCAATATTTTAAAATGTATACGACGTTTAATAGTCAGCCAATGCAGGGTTGACAGAACCGGGCTAATATGGTCATCGAGCAGCTGCATTTTGGACTATCTGAAGTTTGTTTATTAAGCGTGCAGGGCAACCACCCAGTAGAGCATTACAATAATCTAGCCTTGATGACGTCATGAATGCATGAACTAATTGTTCCGCATTTGTCAATGAGAGCATATGACGTAATTTAGATATATTTTTAAGATGAAAAAATGTGGTTCTACAGATAATGGACACATGACTTTCAAATGAGAGATTAGTATCAAAGAGCAGACCCAGGTTCTTAACTGACGACGATGACTTAACAGAGCAGCCATCAAGTGTTAAGGAGTATTGTAGGCTGTTACGTGTGGAAGTTTTTTGTCCAATTATTAGAATCTCTGTTTTTTCAGAATTTAGTAGTAGGAAATTACTAGTCATCCAATTTTTTATATCAGCAATGCATTCCGTTAATTTTGTGAGTTGGTAAGTTTCGTTAGGTTTTGAAGAAATACACAGCTGGGTATCATCAGCATAACAGTGAAAGCTAATTCCAGGTTTCTTAATGATATCTCCTAATGGTAGCATGTACAGAGTGAATAGCAGCGGTCCTAGTACTGAGCCTTGTGATACGCCATACTGAATTTGTGATCGATAAGACATCTCTTCATTTACTGCTACAAACTGATAACAGTCAGATAAGTATGATTTAAACCATGCTAATGCAGTTCCACAAATGCCAACATAGTTTTCTAGTCTATTTAAAATAATTTTGTGGTCAATTGTAGGGCCCTATAATTTCCGCAATCGCGGACAGAATCGCGTAATTGCCCGATTAACGCGGAATCTAGTGTTAATGTGGAATTTAACATATTTGGAATGAAATTCGTTTTTTGTTTGGGAGAAGAATGTGTGTCTGGGGAAAATGCAGACGGGCAATAGAAGAAAATCTGGGCGACGCAACCCCTCCCGTTATTCTCCACGGCTCTGTGCTTTCGTCGGCGAAGAAGTTAAGAAACTCGACACACATACACACACACACAAACCCCATCTCCTCCGTACATGTCTTTCTATGAGGTGCCGGACTGGACAAAAGCGAAGTGACATTGCGTTGCGTGAGTGTGTCCGAGAGAGTGCTCGACAGTGCGCGCTCGACAGACCAAGTGTGTGCGAGAGAGTGCTCGACAGTGTGTGTGTGTGTGTGTGTGTGTGTGAGAGAGAGAGAGACACACACTTTTTTTTATTTTACAGGACATAACCATATTTTGTTGTTACTTGAAGTAGCTTACTTAGAGTGTAGTGTTATGTTGCATCATGCAGTATTTGTGCTAAAAAGTAAGAGTTATGTCATTTTAAGAGTAAATATGCCTATTTTATTTGTGTACATTTGAATCATTAACATTAAAAGCACACTCTTTTTACAACTAAAATAACAGTAAAGGGTAAAAAAACTGAATTCTCAAAAATTAAAACGGAATTTGCAAAAAATAAAACGGAAAAAACGGAATTTGGGAAAAAATAAAACGGAATTTGGGAAAAAAATAAAACGGATTTTATAGGGCCCTACAATTGTGTCAAATGCAGCACGAGAGCTGTCTCGGTACTATGATGTGGTCTAAATCCTGATTGAAAGTCCTCACAGATAGCATTTTTTTCAAGAAAGCAACAGAGTTGTGAGGAGAAAAGGCAGGTTCAAGATTGGCCTGTAATTAACTAATTCTGTAGGATCAAGTTGCATTTTTTTAACAAGCAGTTTTATGATAGCTAGCTTAAAGGTTTTTGGTACTTATCCTAGCGACAAAGACGAATTAATGATATTAAGAAGAGGATCTCTGACCTCTGGAAGCATCTCTTTCATTAGTTTAGTAGGTATAGGGTCTAGCATACAAGTTGTTGATTTAGATGAATTAACAAGTTTGGAAAATTCTTCCTCTCCTATAGCAGCAAATGAAACAAATCTTTCCTCAGGGAGACAACAATGCACCCCCTGATGCGATACTGTAGTAGATAGTTGCATGGTTATAATTTAGAGCCCAACCGATAAAGGATTTTGAAGGCCGATACCGATACAAATATTTTTGGGTTTTAAAATCCGATATTCCGATATATCGGCCGATATTTTTATTGATTTTTTTCAGAAACGCGCAACAAAACATTAACAGATTTCCCTAACATAGTTATTTGTAGTTATTTATGAGTTTTAACTAAAATAATATGATAAAGCATTTAAAAAAAACGTGTTTCTTTTATTGTCACAACGGAACAGAGGAACATCAAAATATATTAAAGTTCTGATAAATAAATTAAAAAATTAGTGCCTACATTGCCTTATAAGCTACCTTATAATTACAATGTCAGCTTAATCCCTTTACCTGCACTTTTTAAATTCTTTCCATCAAGCTACATCACACCATTTTCAATCATCAGTTTACGCCTGCCTTCTAAAACCTACTATTTAGCGATTCTAAATCCATTACAGAACAACAGTCTGCAACGCACACTTGGTGTCGTTGGATTGCACACACGTGTAAAAGAAAAGCTAACTTTTATGCACAAGATACGTTTGATACTTTTTCTCTATGTCTAAATGTTGACTCCTCGCAAGTCTAAAGCCCTATTCGCACGGGATTAGTATTACCTGGGGACCACGTGTGAATTTGAAATTACCCACCCACATCTGAATTTCATATGGCGCATTCGCACGGGATAAGCGAAGCCTGTGATTTCGAATTTACTGACTTATCCCATGGATATGATGTCATTGGGTAGCTTTGAAATGTCTTGTCGTTATTATGTTGTATATAGCCTAATAAACAGAAGAATTGTCCTTACCGTATGCTGCTAAACATGTCATTAATCTCCATTTAATCGTTCTTTTTGTTTTTGCTCTTCTGATGGTTTTCAGCTTACTCTTGTAGCAAATTGTAGCCTATACCCGTATTTTCCGCACTTTAAGGCGCAACGGATTATAAGGTGCACCTTCAATGAATGACCTATTTTAGAATATTTTTCATGGGGCATACCGGATTATAAAGCGCATAAGATACTGCAGTCAAACGTTTGACTGGATTTGCGTTATGCATCCATGGGAATGTAGCGAGTGTCCGGCACCGGAGGTGAGGCGTTTATTTAGTAAGTGTGAGCGCGCTGGGGCTGGCACGTAACTTACATTCGCAGCCTGACTCATATGAGTAGCCTATTCAATGTGCTGCGGCTCGCTGACAGCTGGCTGTTTCAAATGAGACGACCCGGTTACTGTGAACGGGGAGCGCTATATGAACGCGAGCAGCGCCAGGGACAGTGTGTCTGTTCGTGTGTATAAATCGCTCCGGATTATAAAGCGCACTGTCGTTTTTTGAGAAAATTAAAGACTTTGTAGTGCGGAAAATATGACCCCGCACCCAAAATACTATCAAAACACTCCAACTCAGCCTTTATTCTTCGCGTAAGATGGATAAAAAGAAGCAGATGAAACAAAAACCTTGAAAAAATGATATACGATCCAGCCAAATCACAGAGATGTCGATTCGCACGGGACTAATATTATCACAGGACCTCGGTGTTCTGCGAAATATAATAGGTAATTTGCGGGGGAATTTTTACTTTACAAATTACAGACATGGCCGATTCGCACGGGATTAAGATCTCAGACAAACTCCGCAATTATTACAAATTACTACAGGTCACCAGATAATACTAATCCCGTGCGAATAGGGCTTAACTTACATTTTACAATGCAGGGACGGTAACTAGAGATACGCTAGTTATAAATATAGTAATCATTACTTTATTTAGGCAGAAAAAGTTCTTTGTGGTTTCCAAGCTCATTAATGTTAATGTTAGCGGTCTTCCACTGATGATAGTTGCATTAGCTAGCTTTGTGGTTAGCTAGTCTATGATGAGCCATAATTTAGCAATAGATAACGTCATACTGAAAATTGTAAAACATACATCAATATAACAGGCCAAGGAGAGATGATTGAAGCGTGTTTCGTCCGTTTTTGTTTTATTTTTGAAGTATTCATTTCGGCCACTGTCGAGCGCTC